TTTAAATAAATCAGAATGTCATCTGCAAACAACCCTATTTTATGTTCCTCCCCTCCTATTTCCACTCCTTTTATTTCCACTTCCTGCCTAATCATCTGAGCTAATGGTTCTATAAAGAGTGCAAAAAGACTCGGTGAGAGGCAGCATCCCTGTCTTGTTCCTCTCTCCAGTGTAAATCTGCCTGACAGGTTGCCATTAATCTTAATCCGTGCAGTTGGCTAAAATTTTTGTACGTTTTTTAAGTGTAAAATTTCTTAGAGCATTCATTTAAGGTGAACAGTTTCTGCCATTTTAGTGAAATAAGCTCAAGCAGACAGTGAAATATTCCTAAAAATTGGGCAATGATGAGCCAAATGAAGGTTTTAGTCATTTTTATTAAACATGTTTTCACATTTTTTGGTTTTAATTGGGTTAGAAGTTGTGTTCAACCAATCTTTTATTTAAGCCGACCTAATTTGGCAGCGTTTTTACCCAACTTATATTTTTACTGGGGCAAACCAATGCTAATTAGTCTCAGTGGCCAAAATAATTAAATACAATCGCAACTTTCAAAAGTCTAGGGCAGGTTTTAAACCATCAACCTCTAGAGAGAGAGTCTGGTGAGAGAGTTAGTTCCTGCGTTGTGTGTTGAACCAAAGGCAGATCTTAAAGCTGCAGGATAGCCCCCCCCCCACCGCTGGTCTACAGTGAAGCTCTCTGGATGTGTGACCTTGAACTGACCTTTCCTCTGATCTCTCCAGGCTCCTGCATATCACCTGATTCTTGAGGGTATCTTGATCCTGTGGATCATCAGACTGTTATTCTCTAAGACCTACAAACCCAATGAGACGTACAAGCTCACAGAGAGGGTAAGCAGAGCAGGCTGCTGGTTCCTGACCCCCCCCCATCCCAAACAGCTGTCAGTGTGCTTTCTGTTCCAGGAAAAGGAGGACCTGATAGAAGAATGGCAGCCAGACCTTCTGGTTCCTCCCGTTTCTAAGGACCATCCTTCCCTCAAATACGACGTGGTTTCAGGGTAAAGCTGTTTTTCCATTTCTCCTCCTATAACCAGTGAAACCAGTGAGACGCTCAGCGTAAGCTCCCAGTTAAACGTCAGGTTAAACACTCTGTTCTGGTAAACAGTATTCTGTGCGTTTGAACCTCTGTATTTCAGACCGCCCAGCCATAAAATCACAGTCAATGGAAAGGAATGCATCAATTTCGCCTCCTTTAACTTCCTGGGCCTCCTGGACAGCGAGCGCGTGAAGGTAAGACCGGCCCGATGCACATTCTGTCCCTCTTCTGGATCGGACCCAACAGACCTGGACCTGGTGCTTCTTTCCGTCACAGGAAAAAGCTCTGCTGTCACTCAAGAAGTACGGCGTCGGCACCTGTGGTCCAAGAGGCTTTTATGGGACGTTCGGTGAGTGAGCAGCGGGACACGCCCTGGTTCTGACCCAGGTTCTGACCCAGAATGGGTCTCAGCTGATTTCTGTTGGACATTCAGTGTCTTTGGTCCTGGACCCCTCAGTGGGCCAATAAAGGCTGTCTCTACCCCCCCCCAGACGTCCATCTGGAGCTGGAGAACCGACTTGCCAAATTCATGCAGACAGAGGAAGCCATCATCTACTCGTACGGCTTTGCCACCATCGCCAGCGCCATTCCCGCCTACTCCAAGCGAGGAGACATCATCTTTGTGTGAGTGGAGGTGGCGCTGCAGCGGCCGCTCCGGTTCACCTGCATCATCTCACCCTCTGCTTGGTGTCCAGGGATGAAGCCGCCTGTTTCTCCATCCAGAAAGGTCTTCAGGCTTCCCGCAGCTTCATCAAGTACTTCAAACACAACGACATGGAGGACCTGGAGAGGCTGCTGAAGGAGCAGGAGCTGGAGGACCAGAAGGTTGCTTATGTTCCAGGAGGGGGGGGGGTTTCATTGATCCTGCAGGTCTGATCGTCTCCCTTCTTCTGTCTTTGCTCCCAGAATCCTCGGAAAGCTCGAGTGACGAGGAAGTTCATCGTGGTGGAGGGGATGTACATCAACACGGCGGACATTTGCCCTCTGCCTCAGCTGGTAAGCTCCACCAGAACCCTCGGACCAGAACCGCCGTCATCTGGACCTCTGGCTGGATCAGAACCAGAGTTCAAATGAAGTGCAAAAGGCTTCCAGAGATAAACCAATCATAGAGCAGTAACAACGATCTGATTCTTGATAAAATCAATCTTATTTACTTAAGAGCAGGTGGAATGGACGGTTCAACAGAGCTATGGCTCTGGGTGAGTTTGGCAACTG